CAAAAAAACTATCCAGTAGTTTTTGTCATGCCCTAGCCTATCTACCATAGGAATATGCGCGAAATCGAATTTTCGACCCTTGCCGCGAAATTAAGAATTTGTCTGATTTTTACAGGCAGGCACTCTTAACCGTTAAACCGAAAAGTGTTAATATATTATGTTTTCCCGTGGAAGGTCACATATTCACACTCAGAAACATCCTTGAGCAAAGTATGGAATGGCAGGCCCCCATCTAAGTGAACTTTGTTGACCTCAGGAAAGCATTTGATAGTGTTATCAGAGAGGTTATGGGTCATCATGCAAGAGTACAGCATCCCTAGTATGTACATCAACATCCTCAGAGACCTGTATGATCAGAACTTAAGCTGCATCCTCGAGGGTAGAAGAACATGAGACTGCGGGTTCAAGGTGAGAAGCGGTGCGAAACAGGGTTGTGTTATGTCTGGCTTCATCTTTGTTACTGTGACTGACTGGGTCATGAGAAAAACACTTGACAAAAGAGGACTGCGTTGGGATCTCACAGCTGTCTTAGAAGAGCTGGACTATGTGGATGATATTGCACTCTTAGCAAGCAGACACAATGACATCTAGGACACGACGTCCTACCTTCATGACATAGGCAAAGCAGTGGGTCTTAATATCAACCACAGCAAAACCAAGACCATGCGCCTGAACTGCAAAAAGAACGACCTGATCACTGTTGGCGGCAACCTCGGCGCAGTGTTAGATAAGCAAGACAGCAGGGAGGCAGACATCAAACGAAGACTAGCAAGGAGTGCAAGGAGTGCTTTTGCCACACTACAACCCCTATGGAAATCATCAAAGTACAGCTCTAAAACTAAGCTGCGTACTTTCAGCACCAATGTAGTGGCCATCTTACTGAATGGGGCAGAGATGTGGAGAATACATGAACAAACTGGATGCTTTTCACAGGAAATGCATGAGAAAAATACAGAGAGTTTTCTGGCCACACCAAATTTCAAATGAGGATCTGTACAGGTGGACCAATACACTGCCACTGTCAGTGAAGATAAGGATATGGAGATGGATTGGGCAAGTCCTGCAGAGAGACGGCGATAAAATTGCCAGAACTGCACTGACCTGGGCACTGACCGTAAACTTGCCGTAAACAAAGATAAGTGAATTTTATTTAAAATGACGCAAACATTGTCAATAGCTATTCTCGCTTTTTGATTGGCTACTTAAAAAAGTCCATAAAATCTCATTGGTTGAAAAGTTGACAATTTAATAGCTGAAAGTTGAACTTGAAAACTTGCATAAATTAAAATTTTATCTGTCTGTACTCTTATTGACGATAAAAATGAGCCAATCAACGTGCAGAAAATTAGACAGTAATTGTAAAAAATCAGTTTTCACTTTCCAAACTTTGATGCCGGCAGTGCTTGGCAAATGGGCCACAACTCACATAAGGGTTTTTTCCTTGGGCAAGAACTGCTCTTGGACTTTCTACCTGGAACATCAAACATCAGAGCGCATTTTGCTTCTTTAAAACATTTTGATGACTTACCGGTTTATCAAGGCTTTATGATGCCTCTCAACCACTAAGCAGGCATGCAAGGTTCATTAAAACAACACTTCACAATATTAGTTGACAGAGCTCTAAAGCATCACATCTCTTTTCTGTTTGATGATATTTCCTTTGATACTCCATCAATTTCATGTGTTGTATTCCATGTCACAATAACCAACGTAAACAATCTGTTTCCAATATTCCCACTCTATATGCTATTCTACTGACTTACAAGGAAGACAGCTAAGATTCTGAGGGATTTGATTTCGACTTCAAATACTATAAACAGAAGCTACATTTGTGCATCATATTGGTATAAGACACCATCATTGGTGCTTCAGAAAAAGCTAGCTTAACCCAGGAAGATTTGCTTCCAACAATGTGCAAACAAATGAAAAAAGTCCAGGTCAGTATTTAAAATATAATTTGCAGTCACTTATGCGAGAACGAGGCCCTTCATTTGAGATAGTCTGTCCGTTTCCCGTTCAACAAATAACTCCTAAAGACACAGCCAGGAAAAGTCACTTTTTTTTTGCATAGGTTATATCTCAAAAAGGAAGAAAAAACCAGCGACAAAAACTAAACAACAGTGTTTTCCTATTTAATTGAAGACCACATGCAAAAATTCAGGCACTTTTGAGAAAATCATAACTTAGCATGGCTTTGCACTAAGCATGTCAATTATTATACAGTGCCAATATAACAAGCAATCTCACTGGTTTAAACAGCATACTTTAATATGAGAGTAAAAGCAGTGTGCATGCAGCTTTAACAGGACTAACACAAGAATAGCAAGACCTCAAGTGGTGCGTGTTTTTATCAAAGAAATTTGGCCCCCTTTAAAAAGAACTTGTAAATCAAAACACTTTTGCTGATGCAAACACATGTATACAATCTGTATTGCCATACTACATGCGTAACCTTCAAAACTTGTCAGAAGTAAATTTTAATACTGGGTGGGGATAAACATTTTAATAAAGACCAATCATGCTGAGGTAAAGTTGTGCTTTTTTTGTCAGTGATTATTACCAACTTTTGATTTAGTTGGGCTGTAAATATCATTAACCAAAAGTGGGAAAGTGAATTTGCTTCTTCACAGCTTCAATAAATAGTTTGGTAGATCATGTTGCAAGAGTTCTTTGCTTGAGAGAAAAGGTTAGTTCCTCCTGTGTAGTTCTAATTTCTGTAACCTGATTTTTCTTTCCCAAAAAACGTTACATTAATGTATGTTAAATTAGTTACAGTCAATAAACTAGAATCAGTCAGTAAAAAATGCAGACTGCAGACCGGGAACAAAATGCCTACTGGGTGCGAAATGCTGACTAGGTACAAAATGCATACTATACAGACTGCAGACTAGGTACAAAATGCAGACTGAGAGTAAAGGCTGTTGTTTTTGTCTCATAATTGATAACATGCTGTAACATGTCATTTTATAACTTACAGTGTTGGAAATTAGCGCTCGCTCGCTTGCCAATGCAAGTATGAAGAGCATTGTGTGACTACAAATCATCGAATACTTGCCCGTTTGGCAAGTACAATTTTCATTTTTGGAAATTATTTAACCTTACTAATATTTTTGAACACACTCCCTTTTATTTTTGATTTTGGCAACAATATATCTCTCAACATAAACTTACCAGTGATTTTTTGACCTTTTTTAATCTTCCAAGATGTGCCAATAATACACAACTTAGTGTTTCATAAATAGACAAAATGAAATACGGCTTCCCAGCTGTGATAATTTTGGCCCCATGCACTCTACTCCAGAGGAATTTAAAAATGGAGGTTTCACTCTGAAAACGCATTAAATTGTTTCTGTCTACATTTCACCGGAGGAATTTAAAAACACAACAATCACTGGTCATTTTGGATTTGTGTTTCAGTTTGAGAAAAACGCACAAATTCAGGGAAATCACATGATTATTGTGATGCCATAGTTTGCGAAAAGCTCTGTTAATTTTCAAATTGTTTTCCCTCCACACGAAAATGGAAAGCTGCATTTGTAAATTTGTCCAGTTTGAAAGCTCCCTTTTCTTGATGGATTATTGTGGACAGTCAGAAGGCCTAGCCTTTGAAATAAAGCCGCATTTTTAAATTCCTCTGGTGCGGAGTGGACACTGCCTTAGGCCCTGTCATTCTGAAAATGCATCAAATGTTTTCCGTCCACACTGCGACAGAGAAATTTATAATGCAGCTTTATTTCTATGGTTAAGTCTACCATCCACACAAATCCGTCAGGAAAACAGAGCTTTTCGAAAATACTTTTCAATCCAAAGGAATTTGAAAACAACAGCTTTGTGTTTCACTGCGGACAAAAAAAATTTTAAAACAGGAGCTTTTCGAAAACGACCACGTGGTGACAATCATGTGATTTCCCTACCCAAGCTTTCCTTAAGCACAAATCCAACATGACCGGCAATTAGTGCAGGCGTTTTCAAATTTTGTCTTTAAAACAAAGCTTTTCAAAAACGATGACATCATGATAATCAGGTGATTTCACTAACCTTTGATTACCTGTTTTTCAGTTAAAACTACAGAAATGTGGAAATATTTTCCAAGGAGTGTCAAAAATTGATGATTAAAATAAGGATTAAACTATTGAATCTAGCTGCAATCCTAAGGAGGTAAAATCTGCATGCGAGCCAAGTGGCCCATCAGGCTGGAGCTTATCCCGATTTCTGTAGCATGAAGTGACTAGGAGTATTTCTACTCCCCCCTGGATGGGATGCTAGTCCATCGCAGGGTTACCCCCAGCATTAAGTTCGCCNACACAACACAATGTCCCCGGCCAGGGCTCGAACCCGGACCACTCAATCCGGAGACGAGCGCACTAACCATGAGGCCACCGCGCCTTCCACTGCGATCCTAAAGAGGAGTCTCATAAATGGACCAGGTGACATGAAGGTTCAACATGAAATGGCAAGCTGGACGTCCATGATTACAAGATACTGAAAAAAACACATTTTTGGTGAATCCAAAATCATTGCAGAGATTTGTTGGGAAGAGTGGAGGCATCTTTCTAGGTGAATGAAAATTACATACACCTGGCGAGTGCATTTTAATACTCACTCGCCCATGGCGA